TTTTTTTTTTTTTTGGTAATTTTATTTAAGTTCTGGGATTACAATAGCCAAGAATGTGCAGGTTGGTTACGTAAGTTATACGTGTGTTCATGGGTGGTTTTTGCATCACCTGTCAGCCCATCGCATTAGTTGTTAAGCCCCACATGCATTAGGTAATTTTGTCCTTAAATGCTCTCCCTACCCGTTGTCTCCCCACCCCCAGCAGCAGCCCCCAGGCCCTGGGTGTGATGTTCCCTTCCCTGTGGTTCCAAATTTTGGGGCTTTTTATTGTTTATTGTTCAACTCCCACTTATGAGTGAGAACATGTGGTGGTTGGTTTTCTGTTCTGGTGTTAGTTTGCTGAGGATGATGGTTTCCAGCTTTATCTGTGTCCCTGCAAAGGACGTGAACTCATTCTTTTTTATGGCTGCATAGTATTCCATGGTTTATATATAGCACATTTTCTTTATCCAGTCTATCATTGATGGGCATTTGGGTTGGTTCCATATCTTTGCTATTGTAAATAGTGCTGCAGTAAACATGTGTGCATGTGTCTTTATAGTAGAATGATTTATATTCCTTTGGGTATATACCCAGTAATAGAATTGCTGGGTCAAATGGTATTTCTGGTTCTAGGTCCTTGAGGAATTGCCATACTGTCTTGCACAGTGGTTGAACTAATTTACATTCCCACCAACAGTGTAAAAGTGTTCCTATTTCTCCACAGCCTCGGCAGCATCTGTTGTTTCCTGACTTTTTAATAATCACCATTCTGACGGGCGTGAGATGGTATCTCATTGTGGTTTTGATTTGCATTTCTCTAATGATCAGTGATGATGAGCATTTTTTCCTATGTTTTTTGTCCGCATAAATACCTCCTTTTTTTTTGGCAGCATAAATGTCTTCTTTTGAGAAGTGTCTCTTCATATTCTTTGCCCACTTTTTGATGGGGTTGTTTTTTTTCTCGTAAATTTGTTTCAGTTCCATGTGGATTCTGGGTATTAGACCTTTGTCAGATGAGTAGACTGCAAAAGTTTTTCTCCCATTCTGTAGGTTCCCTATTCACTCTGATGATAGTTTCTTTTGCTGTGCAGAAGCTCTTTAGTTTAATTAGATCCCATTTGTCAATTTTGGCTTTCGTTGCAATTGCTTTTGGTGTTTTCGTCATGAAAG